GAGAGAGAGAGAGATCATTCTTAACTGCAGATTGGCCTTTCAGAAGAAGCCTGTACTCACTGAGTGGATGATGCCTTGAAGGGCCTGGAAGCCATCATTCACAGGAAACACATGGTCCTTACTGTCTGCAATCCGAGCCAGCTGAGAACAGACAGACACACAAACACGTACAGAGATGTGTCAGGCATGGACATGGGAGACTCAGGGAAGTCACTATTGTACTGCATGGGGCTGGGGTACCTCTGTCAGAACCCAGAGGAATCTGGAGCCTTCACCAGGCTCAGGGCCTCCTCACTGACGGCCCTCAGCAGTGACAGGCTGGCCAGGGACCCCCTGCAGCAGGCTGACGGTGGCAGCAGCACAGGATTTGTTTGAGTTTTTTCATTCTTGGGAGCAGAGGCAAGACTGTTCAGCTGGATGAACACTCGGATTGTGGGGGGTGATGTATTTGTAGATTTGGGGGCCACCGGCTTGTTTCCCACCCAAATATCTGCTGGTGATTTTATCAAACAGACTTGAATCCTCTCAAAGCAACTTCAGAACCAAATTCAGACATTCTTGTGGCAGCAGGCTGGTGAAAGGGCCCCCACCTTTCATCCCAAATGCCACAAGGGATGGGCCCATTGCTTTCTCTGCTTCAGGAAGCAGGAGACAGAAGACAAGGAGCACTGACCAGGGACCCTCAACATTTACAGTTCTGGGACTGCCACAGAGGCCATGCCAGTGTTAAAATAGTTGTTCATTGTTTTTACTGACTGCAAAAGTAACATACTCATTATAAAAAACTTAGGAGAAATATAAAAGTTAAAATGAAAGAAAAACAAGGTCTGTTCATAAGAGATCTCGACCTATGTATCTGTAGTTTGTTCTTATTGACAATTGGGTATGCATAGACTGTTGGGTGTGTGTAGACTGTTGGGTATGTGTAGACTGTCAGGTATGTATAGACTGTTGTACTTTTTCAATGCAAATACTTGTGCATTTGTTCTAAAAGTGGGCAGGTACTGTTCTCACTGCTTTGTAATCCTATTTTATTCACTCAGTAACTTATTGAGAATACTGTGCCACTGTAACAAAAGCAACAATGAGCCACATGGATGAAGTCTTATTTAGGATGTTAGCAGGTTTCTACTTCTGGACACACTTCTCCAACTATTCCTACATTTTTGTACTGAAAAGACGTATTACATTTTTAATAAGCAAAAAAGAACATCTGTCACTTGAAAAAGAAGATTGTACTTGTCAAATTAAAAATTTTAGAAAGTTTTCTAAATGAATTGAGACCCGTGTTGACACCTTGGTGACTTACTGTTACCTAGAAAGTTAAACAAAAGAGATGTGTCCTGGATGGTCTATGCTAGGACCCCAGAAACCTCAAAAGATGATGTCAAATTCTCCATACAGCTCAGTTTCTTCTTGCTTAGCTTCCCAGAGAAACATGCTATTGAGGAGTATGCATTCCACAGATGCCCCTCTATGCTGAATGAACTTCTTGTCCATCACTCCTGAGCTCAGCACATTTCCAAACAGGAGGAGATCCAGGCTCATACCTGAGTTTCATTGAAATCCTTCACACCAACACAGTAAACGATGGCACCAAGGTCTCGGGATCTGTTAGCCTGTGTGAGGAGACAAAGGAGATTAAAGAGAGAGGGAGAAGCAAGTATCTCCCTCTTGATTTCAAGACTGCTGTCAACCATGAAGTGTTTCCTGAGCACCTGCTTTGTGGCAGATGACATGGTGAAGGAGCAGTCTCGAGCCCAAACCCTAGTGACCCTCAAAGGCTTATGTAAAGTGTGTAGACCAGAGGGCAGTGGTTAGCTTAGGGGACACCCACCAAAGCAGACTTCAGTGACAGACAGCTCTGGAAGGATGTGGGAGGAAGGAGAATGACAGGGGCAGATAAACCTCATGACACACCCAGAAAAAAAATGTCCACCTTTGCTATAAGTAGGATTTATCGGCATACTTTCTTTTGGGGTGGGTGACAACACAGTATGACAAAAGCATGTGGCCTTTGGCACCAGATATCCCTGGGTGGATGCTTGGCTTCACTGTAAAGTGTCTGGGGAATTAACTGTGGTCATCTGTGCAGAGCTCACTGGCACTGTGATGCTCCTATACTCAGCATCTTTATGAACCAGACCTTTCTCCTGCCATGGAGCAAAGCAGCTTGATGGTGGGTAAGTTCATATTTGAATAGGTCGCCAGGATCTTTTCTACACTGAGAAGGCAACATACAGAGAAATATCCAGGTTTGGGCTTAATGCTACATTTGACTTATTAAAGGTATTTTGATTTGCTTTGGTATTTGTTTTCCAGATTTCCTGTGTTTCAGGCTA